CGGCGATGGCAGCATCCACTGCGGAACCGTTAGCTTTGAGGATCTCGTTTCCGATTTTGGAACAATTTGGTGTATCCGTGGCAACGGCCCATTTGCCGTAGATGCCAAATGAATTATCACCAGAAGATTTATCACCAGATGATATATCACCAGATGATATATCACCAGATGATATATCACCAGTTGATTTATCGGGGGGAGAATCTCTTGTTTTGATATAAGAAAGAAAGACAACACCCGGCCCCAAAAGTGAAGTCACCCCCATAACCACAACTATTCTGATCTTCCTAAAAAGAGAACGGTCAGATTAAATTATTGGCTTGATTTTAGGTGGTATAAAAACTGAATGGTGGCGTTTGCCTCGAAAAGGGAAGAGTTCGAAAGACATAAAGATTACAGTGTGTCACAAGAAATCGTATCGTATATCAGTCATTAAATTACGTCTTGATTAGTTGTGGCGCACGAGTGGTGCAACGGCCCATTTACTGTAGTTGCCCAATGATTTATCACCAGAGGATATATCACCAGATGATGTATCACAAGATGATATATCACCAGATGATTTATCAGAGGGGGAATCTCTTGTTTTGATATAAGAAAGAAAGACAACGCGCGGCCCCAAAAGTGAAGTCACCCCCATAACCACAACTATTCTGATCTTCCTAAAAAAAGGAGTCATATTAAATTATTGCCTCGTTTGTAGGTCGTATAAAAACTGTATGTTGGCTTTTGCCTCAAAAAGGGAAGAGTTCGAAGGACATAAAGATTACACGGCAATGTGTCACAAGAAATCGTATCGTATATCAGTCGTAAAAATACGTCTTGATCAGTTGTGGCGCACGAGTGGCGGTTAGCACATGACATTCGTTTATCACAGACTTCCTTTTGATAATGAAGAAACGAGCCAAGTGTTTATTGGGTCGAAACAAAGTTCCATAATAAATGAGTCAATTATTATTTTTGTCACGCAAACGAAGCAATTCTTTCCGCGTGAGTTACTTTGTTTTGAAATAAAAATTTGAATATGCTGCGTCAAATTTTCTGTTTCTGGGTCAAAGTACGCAGAGATTAGTACTTATCCTGGATTAGATTTAAAAGCATTTATTGAAAATCCAGGGACTTCTCACAGTAATATTTTCCGACATGTGTGCCGGAAACGAACGTCACTATACATTTTTTTTCTTTCTGAAAAGAGATAATGCTACTCAGCTAAATGATAGATTAAAGATATCTTTATCAAGTGATATAAATGCAAAGTTTAGTTGTTGTTTAAAAAAGTATTCTGGTTGATTTTAATTGCGAGTTGTCGCGATATATAAAAAGTCCAGTCGAATGATCTCCACCAACCCGATATGAAGGATTACGACAAGTATGTCGTCAGTGTAGTTTTCTGGGAAAACCACGTGCTATTACGCCATTTAGCAGAAAATCGATCGAGCTGGAAAACGTCATGGACTGCTTCTGAAGCAGATACTTAAATTTCGTGACACATTCAGTTTGTAGAATATGACATTTTTATCTTCTGTCGATTTTGTGTCATCACTGGCTACATATTTGAGGTCAAACGATTTGAAAATTTGACAGAATCTGAATCGATATGAGTAATGCTTTCGACAAAATTTCCAAACTTTGGGTCTGGTTGTGTAAGTTCATCACAACAGAAACTGCACATTGCATATACGGAGTACTGAGAAGAAAACTGATTACGCTTACCAGTTGTCGCTTATCGTAGCTTCCATTTTGGGATGAAAATGCGTCTCGGACGTTGCAAGAAGGTGTAAAACTCGAGATCGATTCTTACGATTTCTTAGAAACTTTAGCTAGACAACCCGTGCCCCCGCCCCTAGGGTTGTCTACTCAATCGTCTCTTGTTCTCAATTTTCCACGATTGAGTAATGATCAAATTAAAATGTGTTATAATATGTTAGGAGATGCGAGCTCAGTTTAATGAGCTCTCTGACATGCAAGTGTTCTCTGATAGAAATATTTCGATTAAAGGTCTAGATTCTTCATTCTACACGAAACGAAAGATGTTTGAAAGTCTAAATTGGCGGGCAGCATGGAACAACCGAGTCATTGAC